ATATTTGTAATAATTCATAAAACATGAAAAAATTATTATTTCTTGTGTTAGTCACCTACTACTATAACACACTTTAGCTTTCCTTAATGTTTCAAAACTGGTACGTGCTTAGCGCACTTCAGCGACCATTTAAAGGATCCTTGTACAATCCGTTTCCTATCATTTCACATGTGTATAGGTACAATTTTACCAAATTTTCATTTGTTCGATTTTTTGGTGGACTCGAACTTATTAACATCTACGTCTGGTTACGTCGCAAAGACGGTGCGATCTGTGTAAGCCTATTTATTATACAGTCTAACGACTTGGAAAAGTCAATCTGAGGCTACTTCTAAACGAAGCTGAGTAAAGTGTTATGATGTTCAACAATGTTAGTTTCGTTTTTGTGGTGTTTGACGCCATTTTTACTATTTGAAGCCTATCTTGGCTAGGCACGTACCTTCTGAAATTCCCAAGCCTCAGGAAAAATTCTTGAATTTTGAATGGTTTTAAATGAATACCTGTAAATTCGGTAAAATAATCGGTTAACGATCGCGGCAATTCGATCAGCATCAGTAATGATAGGCCCCAGTGTGGGATCCAACTGTATAATATATAACTTAGTGATCGTTAAAGGGTTGTTTGCCTCATGTTTAGTAGTTTCTGGCACGTCGTTTACCAAACAGTAGTAGTATAGTCCAACTTTTAAGTAAATCAAGACACTTGTTAAGAAAAAAACAACTAGTTACGATCAAAAACCTTTGTATTTAAAATCAAATTAAGTCGAAAATAGATCATCGTAACAGCAGGACTGGATTACCATAAATCACTCTGTATATTTTCTCTCGATGTATATTTTACGATAGACAAAACGTGTTATACGGTAGCACGTGCTGCCTCCTTTTGCAGAAAGGATCAAAAAATGTTTTATGTCAGGTATATATATATATATATATATATATACCTGACATAAAACATTTTTATATAAATAGTGTGCCAAACACCAAAAATACCTGACAGGTTATGCCTGTTAAACCAAAAAAGATACCTGTAGAAACCGCAGAAGACACACTTTATCGGGTACGCTTCGGCGGTCTTGATCAAGAAGAAGTATTTGCATTTTCCGACCCGTTTCCGGAGCGATTAGCCCACTGTGTCTAGATAAACCAAAATGACAAGTTCTCATCCCATTGAATCGAATGGCTTTTATCTTCCATCTTTCAGTCTACATGTAAGTACGTTAATCTTCTAACCTATCGGCCGTATAGAATGTATATATGGTTCGTTTAGGACGAAAAATTTTATAAACCTAGTATATTTGACGAATTCATTGTAGTCATGCCTTAACCGTTTTGTTAAGAAAGCTTTGATTTTAAAGCACAGCTCGGTATTTGGTGCTTGGTGATATGCTCTAAAAAGTTTATAACCTGACCTATCTATGACATCTTTATAATCCTTAAAGAAAAATTTCATTCACTTTTATCATGGCAGTTTTATATGTAGAGCGCATTCTGTTTCTAAAGTATTTTTACTAGCATGTATTTGAGTTTTAAAATATTGAAATGCAATACATATCTACCCTTCTTTGAAGAACTTAAGCAGCATTTTCAGACGTCTTGGGCTTTCTAAAGGTGTAGTAAGCATATTCTTCCCTACAAACCCTAATAATTTCAGGCTGAAGAAGCTTGCAATATAACTATAGCCTATTAGATGTCGTCTGCTGGATTGCAATATGGAATTGTTGCGCAATCCACCAGTGTATACTCTATGATCTTCGCGAAAATCGGTCTAAAAAGCCATTCATCATTGATGGTTTGCCTGAGAAAGTTTGCCGGACAAAAGAGATAAGCCAGTGGTAACTCGCGTTCCCTGCAACATTAACCTCCATTATTTGCAGTGTCGGCGGTCGTCTCTAGATGGTTCACCTAAGACATTCGTCGAAGATAGACGGTGCCTTTAGGTCTGTGGGACCGAACACAACAAATGAGCTGACGATGATCAACATGCATCTCCAAGCAACCAAACATTTACTTACGTCTTTACTTAATAAAAGTGTCTCCGGTTGGTTATTTGAACAGAAATATATTGAAATCATATGTAATTTCGCACACAGTTTAGTAGCAAGTACTGAAATCTATCAGGATTTAGTAAATTATACAGAACCCACAACATTGAATGATTGGAGTCTTTGAACACGAATATAGGGTTATCGATCATTTCCTTAAGCACCGATGGCATAAAACCGATCGTTTCTTGAAGTATTTTGCAACGTATTGGCGGCAAATATCTTAAAGGTTAACAGAATATTCTAGAACAGAGTACTAACACAGAAAAAAACATTCGATAAAGCATATTTATTCGACCATTGTTCAATTGCGTGTCTTCTTAATGAAGAGCAATGCAAATATTAAAGTTTTGAAAAGAAGTATTAAGTTGAATTTACTAAAGTCGCACATGTGTTTGTCAAAACGAAGCGTACAAGCAATTATTTCGATTAAAAAATTTATATAAACAAATACACCTTAATGGAAGATGAAGGCTCCTCAAAGTTCAACTTCGTAGTAATACACGGACATCAACATATGTATTACAGTCTGATCTGTTGTATGAACAATTATTAGTAGGTTTTATTTTATTTAATAGTATTTTCGTATAGTAAATACTGCCAGGTTATAAATACAACGGCAAATAATGGGGTTTGTTTTATCGAAAGCTTCTTGCGCCACTGTGTCGTTTCCGTCCAAAGCGTTTCGACCTCTTTACTCTGGTTGCGGTAAATTAATGGTTACGATTATTTTCACTACCTCTTGTTTTTGTTAATATACAGCGTACGATGGTCTACATTCGCGATTCTTGATTGGTTTCGCCCCGCTTTGAGACAAAGGCTTCTATCTATTTTGGGTACAAATTGCATGGTTTTATGACTGAGATGACTAAGCATCCACCCAGAGACCTCTGTCTGAGACGTGCCCCTCAGACTAAATTGAAAGCTTGTTTCCGGCAGATAATCACACTCCGTCGTACACGGAACAAATACAAATTTAATTATACGCTTGCCGATAGGTGGGCAGATGTTTTGCAAACCAGACAATTAACCATCCAAGTGTAAAGATTTTTTTCCCATTTTTTTTGCACTTTAATCTCTAATAAAACCCTATTTGTACGCATAAGGGTTTTTATTTTTATTTTTGCAACGCTTCCAGTTCTTCTAACTGTCTGAACGAGCTCTCTGCGCCATCTCTTCGGTAAAATATCATTTCGAGGAGGTCTGGGCAGGGTGGGTCCTGCTAGAGGATTATCTGGGATTTTTTCAACAGACCTATGAAATCGCATGGCAACCGCATGCCGTGGTAACACGTAGATCGCAACAAAGCACATAAAAATCCTGTTACTAATAGGCTGCCTAGTTTCGAGCTAAGTAATTTCTCGCTCGGCCTTATTTACGTAACAGGGAGCACTTGTCACATTCAAGGCTAACAGAAAGCTTTACATGTAAAAGTGAAAATTATGTGTACCACTTAGTGACGGGCAGTCTATTGTAAAAATATACTGTGAATCACACGGGTTCAAAACAGAAATCATCAGCATAACTTCTTAAAGTACACGTTTTTCATGTACTGTCTCTATTATAAAGCACGGAAATTTACAAATGACTGTAGAGGAGTTTATTAAATTACCATATATTAATATCTAATTTTTGCCTATCTCTGTAAACATGATTCACTATATGGGTTAATTAAAAAAAGCGACGTAGATGTGTCACTTCATTGGTTGATAAATCGGCTGTAGTATAGGTAACGCAATATACTTTTTATTATATTTTATTTATTCGATTACAACTCATCAACAGTAATGTTTAATTTATTTATCATGACATAACTTGTCAGAACTGAGGTAAGTTTGGAGAACTTTTAAAAAGTGAACTAGTAGTTGGGTCTCTAATAAGCAACCGAGTCTGTTTTCCTATTCAATGTACGAATTGGTAATAACATTGACCCTTTAATTCTTTATCTATTGATAAATTATTTATTTTTTATTATTAATTGAGAGATAAGACTTGAAAAA